GGTTGAAAACACTCTTTCCAATATTCTAAGCCTATTTTCTAATGCCTCCTAGTTATATATCCAAAATAATCTGGAATTTCCCTTACCAGATTTTTAATGTTTGTCAGCTCTATTCCAGATTCAAAGCCTGGCTGTTCATCCGAGTTATCTCAATTGCAAACGTAGAAGGCCCAAGCCTCACCATCACACCAGTCACCGAGGAGACAGCGGCTCAGACTGTTACTAAGAAGAATACTTGCTCATTCTTAGGCTGACTTTCCTTCTATTTTAATTCTGAATTAATTCACCTCACTCCTAATTCACACGACCTAGCTTCCTTCTCTACTTTTAGGTTCTTTCTCCAAATATTTAAGGCCCCAGCATGTCAGAGTTTTCTCACTTAAGAGCTTATTACAATTTTGACCCTTTAAAATACACGACTGCAGTCAAGTATGGTGGCTCACACCTGTAATCCCAGGTCTTGGAAGGCTGAAGCAGGAGGATCACTGCAAGTTCAAGGCCAGCCTGAGCTACACAGTGAGTTCAAGGCCAGCCTGGAATAGCGAGACTGTCTCAAAAACCCAAAGCGAAATACATAGGGAAAAAGAAGTCTGAGAGAAAAGTATGTTGTAAGTATAATAAACTGAGGAGAGTATTCATTACCTTAGTCAATGCAAAATTATATTCAAATGAAGAAAATATAATAGAAAATCATGATCTGACATGATATAGGGGCTGGGTATGTGGCTCAGTGGTAGAGTTCTTGCCTAGCATGCACAAGGTCTTGGGTTTGATCCCCAGCACCCCCCCACCCCCCCAAAAAAATCATTATATGTAACTGCTTTAATAGGGCAATCAGCATATAGATGTAACAGATAAAATCATTATATGTAACGGCTTTAATAGGGCAATCAGCATACAGATACAACAGATAATAAAATTAACCTGAAATCATTCCAAAACATTTACTTTGGGCTTAAAGTTCTGAAGAAAACAGGATTATTTCTGAAACAATATACTGATTACTCTGCTCGCTGCTGCAAATCCTCCCCACAAAAGAGAAATTGGATCTTTTCCAATTTCGTGTATTTCAAAGTCGTGTATTTCTTTGCAAAAATCACTGGCACATAAACTTCAAACTAGAGTTCACTGATTTTTAAAAACCAACAGCTTCATTATATTTTCCCCTTTTCCTAAAGAATGGGAAATACTTCACAGATGTTGCTATAGATTTTCACAAGCATTTCTGAAAAATGTTATAAGGCAGATGTTTAGGAAGTAACAGCAACTCTTCCAGGTCAGTATTACTGAGGTACTACAAAAACAGTGTTAAGATCCTTAAAAAGCAAAAAATAAACCGAGAAAGAGAAAAGACTGGGGAAAAAAGAATAAACAAAAAAAGAATGGGCAAAGAGAAACAAACTGGAGGTTGTATCAGTCAGTGCTCCCTAGAGAAACAGAACTAACGTAAGATATAGACAGGCACGGATTTACAAGGTGGGCCACATGCACAGTCGGTGTGGAAGAGCGCGAAAGGGCCGTCTGTGTGCTGGAGACTGCAAGGGTCCAGTCAAAAGTCAAAGGCCTGGAGCTCACTGCAGAGACCCACTTCGCACAGCGCGGTCCTCAGTGTTCCGCATCAGGAAATGGAAGGGCCTGCGAGGGAAGCTGAAGAGGCTGTACTGGAAGCCCGGAGCCTCACATCCAAGGAGAGGGTGAAGACTGGAGCTCCTCTGAAGAAACACAAGCGAAGAAACACAAGCGAGCCTCCCCTTTTTACTCCGCCCTGGCTACAAGCCTATTGACTGGCGCCATTCACAGCCGGCGGGGGCCTGCTGTCTTCTGCAACTCCATTCAAGCACACTCAGAACTGTGCTAAGCCAATCCGGTGGGTGTTTCCTAGTCAAGCTGACACAACAGTTAATATCACAGAGGGTGAGGTCACTTTGTGAGAGCCAGTAAACGCCAGGACAAGTTACTTTAGGAACCCCTGAGAGAAACTGTTGCTAACCACAGGCCTACACTAAAAGGTACTCTAACTTTCCACACAGGAAGTTCAAATTTCAGCTCACTGAAAAGTTGAAAATAGAAAATGCAAGGAATCACACATACACAGAGTTACACTCAGGAAATTCTGATACCTGTTTATTGCTAAGAGGAAAATGGCCTCTGAAACCAATGGCCTTCTCCAATCAAACTCCTATGACCAACAGCTACACTTATTCTCTGAGTACATGACAACATGTGCAGTGACACCTGAGCAGAAACTAGTCACAGCTTCTGGGGCTTGTTATGTTCCCTCCTGTAGCCAAGAACGTACTTGGGACTTGCAGAATTGCTATCCTACATTGACATCCTGCCAAGAAATAGCTACCAAAAACGAAGCACACCAAGAAGACAAAGCACTCTGGCCACATAAATTATCAATGAAACACTTACAGACTTAACAGAAAAAAGAGCAAACTCAAATGAAATAAATCCACTGGGAATTTGTCCGTTATATCGTACTTTACCTTTCTGTAATATAGAAAATAGGTGATATTCTATCAATGTCTTGTAACTAACTCAAGAGTAAAAGCAGATTTTACAAAGGCCTTCAAAGACCTACAGTAACTTGCCTCTGTCCCCAAACTTTAATCTTCTCTTCTGTTCCCTTTGAATCTAGCCTTGGTAGTTCTTAGCAGCCAGGCACCTCCGACAAACGGTTTATGACCTGCTGATCTTTGGTGGAGACCCAAATGAGGATGACTCACTCCCTTCTCAATTTCAAGTCTCAACTACCCGATTTACATTCGCCCTCCAACCCCACCTAGCCACTCCCCAGAGCCTTTGGCTCTCCAGAGCTTTGGTTTTTTGTTTTGTTTTTCATGAGACAGGGTCTTACTATGTAGTTCAGGCTGGCCTTAGAAGTCACTATGTATCCTCCTGCCTCAGACTCCCTCATGCTGGGATTACATTTGCTTTGTTTTTCCCATAGCACTTACCACCATCTAACAAATTACATAGTTGGTTTACTAAGTTTGCTTATTGTTGTATCTCCTCCAGCTAGAAAATACATTTTATCAGGATAGGAGTTTTTGTCTGGTCTGTTCACTGCCACTTCCCTCCTACCTAAACAGTGCCTGATCCAAAGAGAAGGATGAAACAGAAGAGGGTGAAGGCATCCAGAAAGAAATTACAACAGGGAAGACTGCTCCCTTCACAGGTATGATTCACCTTTCCCAATTTTACAAGCACTACACTTTTCTCAGTTCCTCTCCCCTGCTTGTGCCTTTTTCAGTCCAGGACCCTAACCGCCCCACGCATCTCTACAATATATTCCCTGTGCAAAAATATCTGTAACAGAGATTTTCCAGGTTGCCTCCACACACAGGACTCCGAAGTCCGCTTCCCTGGGTCAGGTCGTTCCCCTAGCTCTACAGGAGCAAAACACCAGACAAAATCTTTCCGCCTGTTTTTCCTCTTTTCCCACTCAGCCTGCCCAACCTCACGGTTCGAATCTCTTGACCAGCTATTCTGTGGTTAAGAGAACAGGCCTGGTATCAGAAACACTCGCTCATTTCCAGCAGGCTGTGTGCGCCAGGACAAGTTATTTAATCTCTAAAAATTTCAGTTTTCTCACCTATAAGATGGGATAACAGTAGTGATAGTCAAAACATCACAGTACTTGGGGAGAAAAGTTTAGGCAGTCCTCAAAACTCTGGCTCTTTATTACAAAGACAACTTAAACAATATCACTTTCTCAGTCTTAGATCTCCTTCCGTTTTTGTAACAGATCATGTATATACGCCTGCATGACCTCCCATTCTAATGACAAAAAGACAGAGCAGCTAAGATAGCTTTTGGTTTGTTTGTTTTCTGTGTTTTTTTGAGACAGGGTCTCGCTATGCAGTTCAGGCTGGCCTTGAACTCACTCTGTAGCGCAGGCTAGTCTCGAACTTGCAACGATCCTCCTGCCTCAGCCTCGTAAGCTTGGGATTACAGGCGTGTGCCACCACACCCGGGATAAGATTGCTTCTGGAATAACTCAAATTTGGGCCCAGGTCTGACCAGATTATTAGCAGCAACTCACTGATGATGGCTTTGGCTCTGGCCAAACACTGTAAGAGTCAGCTTTCGCAGCGGGTCCTCTTTCCAATTACAGACTCCTGTCGATATAAAATGTTACTCAGTTTCTGTTTTTCTCCCTCCGGAAGTTGAAGTTTGACTAAACTGTTGTTGAACAAATAATATTCTGAGGTATTTCCTTCCGTTTTTAAAGCTATAACAAAATCACGGAGTCAATGTCTTTCACACACAGAAGCTACTATGGGATTTGATAACTTCAGCTGAAAAAAGTTGCATCCAATCCTTTCAAACATTTTTCCCTTCTGCTAATTCTTCTGTGAACTACCGACGTTGAGGGCAGCCCCTAAATCTGAAGTACAGGGGCTGGGGATTTAGTTCAGCGGCAAAGTGCCTGCCTGGCAAGCGCAAGGTCGTGAGTTCGATTCCTAGTACCGAAAGAAAAACAAAAACAAACAAATAAATCTGAAGTACAGACACGGAAGCACCATATCCAAACGGTGGAGCCGTAAACGAGAAAGTAAAGAAGGTGAAGGTGCACCAGCTCCCTGCGATCGCCTCCGTAACTGCATCGTGAACCTGAGACACCTGACAACGAAACGAGGGACAGGACCGGGCCACGCAGAGCGCCGCCAGGCCCGAGCGGGGACCCCGGAGCCTCGGGGTGCAGTCGAGGCGGAGAACGGCTGAAAGCCCCGCAGTCCCAGCGGCCCCGACTCGGCCGACGAGAACGCACGGCTACGACGGCAACGATCAATTTCCCGGACGTAGCCCCCGGCACCCGAGTCGCCGAGGCCCTGTCCCAGAGCTCCAGGCCTCCACCCACCCCAGATCCCTAAATCACCGCGACCCAGCCCGCCAGGCGCCTCCCGCACAGGCCCCGCCCGCCCCGCCCGCCCGGCCTTCCCCGCCGGGGACAGCGCGGCCCGCGGTGAGGACGTTCCCGCACCCGCTACCTTGGTCGTCCGGATGTGCTCCATCGCGAGGAGGCCTCCGCCGGCAGCCGGCCTCACAGGCGTACCAGGCAGAGAGAAACCGGGCGGCGAAGGCAATCCGGAGCGAGCGAGCACTCCCCCCACCCGCCAGCGCCTCCACCCGCCAGCCCGCCCCCCGGCGGCGTCAACCGCGCCTGCGCAGCCGCTGCGCGCCGTCTCCTAGAAACACTTCCCCAAACCGCCCGGCCGGCGAGGGGACGCAGAGCGTGCGGGTAGAGCGTCCGCCGACGGAGCCGGACTTCCGGGTGCCAGATGATTCTACAGCGCCCTCAGCTGGTGGAAGACTGATACCGCTCGGCAATCCCTCCCTGGGAGTCCTTTGTCACGCAGCCAGACTAGGAGCTTCAGAGCCCAGCGTCCAGTGGATAGAAAACATTTATGCTTTTCGAGATGGATCCTGAATAAAGGGCATTTGACGGGTAAGGGCGAGACTTGATGTCTGAGAAACCCATTGTTTTAGGCAGGTAAGTTAGGCAGAAATATTCTAGGCAGTCAGACAGGGCCAGGCCCTCAAAGTAGCCAGTGCAGAAGACAGGACGCATGGCCACTGTGGGGAGACACAGACACATCTGCTGAGGGCCCGACTGCAGGACAAAAGATGAAACGAATGCACCCACGAACTTCTCCTGGTGATAAACAACAGTGATCATATTCTAAATAGGTGTCTATCACCTTGGGAAAGCCAGGGAGAGCCACTGACCCAACCCTCTAGGAAAAGCCCCTGTTCTGTTTCTGCTACCTGACTTCTTCCCCATTTGATCCCCATTTAATCAACACTACCTGAGCAGCTATGCTCCTAATCTTACTGGCGGGCCATAGTTTTGTCCCACCTTCATAACCACCTTGTGATTTCCTATTTTTCCCCACCCTGGACCTGCCTCACCTCAAGGTTTCGCTCTATAAAAATCCCCAGAAAAGGCAGGGCCCTGGACAAGCCACTCAGGACCCTTTCTCTCTCTCAGACAGAAGCTTTCTTTCTTTCCCCAATAAAGAGATTCTGCTCTTAACCTCTGTTGTTCCTAGAATTCATTCTTCGATTTTAGAGAACACGAACTCGTACCTGATATCTACAGGTTGGGAGTTTCTTTCCCCACTATCACCACCACCATACCAGTGGACTGCATCCAATTTAGATATTTTCCCTTTAGTTTGAGCAGCAATTATACTTACTAAAATTTATTCTAAGGAAATTATCAGGTATGTTTAATGTAGCCTTATTTAAAACAATGATATTTTTCACTTCTACAGGATTCATTATGCACACTATGCTCTATTCACTGTTGGTAAGGGCATCCATTAAAAACATCCTGTAGAGAGATACTGTGTTACATAACAAAAATGTTGATGCTGTATTAAGTAGGGGGGAAACTAAGGTAGTTATAGTACAGTTAAGTTCAACTTGAGCTTTTTCTGTAATTTTTATTTAAGTAAACAAAATGCTTACTTTTCATTGGGCCTGGTAGTACATGCCTGTAATCCCAGCACTTGGGAGGCTGAAGCAGGAGGATCACGAGGTGTTCAAGGCCAGCATGGGCTACATAGTGAAGTCAAGGCCAGCCTGAACTACACAGTGAGACCCTGTCTCAAAAATATTTGAAAAGACTATCTGTGATTTTTCAGACTGCAGAGAAGACAATGGACTATAGAACAAAGAAACCCAATAAATTCCAAGAGGGGTAAAGAAAAATAAATTCATATAGACACATCATAGTACACTACAGATTCAACATGTTGAATTCACTATGTTATCACCAAGGACAAAAACAGAGATTCTTTTCATATTTAAGGACTTTATTTTTAGTGGAGTTTTAGGTTCACAGAAAAACTAAGAAGCAGGTATAAAGAACTCACATATATTCCTTCCCATAATTTCTTTTTTTTTTTTTGGTTTTTCTCTGGTACTGGGAACCGAACTCACGACCTTGCGCTTGCAAAGCAAGGATGTGGGGGTTTTTTGTTTTGTTTTGTTTTGTTTTTTTGTTGTTGTTGTTGTTTTTTCTCTGGTACCGGGAACCGAACTCAGGACCTTGCACTTGCCAGGCAGGCGCTTTGCCGCTGAGCTAAATCCCCAGGCCCTCTTTATCAATTACACTTATAATTTCTTTCATTATCAATATTTTCACTAGAGTAAAACATGTATTATAATTAAGGAAGGTGAAGAAAAATGAGAAAATACGCTATAGAATGAAAGAAAATATTTGCAAAATATACATCTGATAACGAATTTTTAAAAATCTATTAAAAGTAGTATAAAAATAATTCCATTTTTAACATTGGTCAAATATATTAACAGACACCTCAAGAAAGAATATGTACAGAATGAAAACAGGCATATGAAATGGTCTTCTACATCAAATGTCATTAGAGAAATACAAATTAAAACGAAGCACTACTATATAACTGTGAGAAAGTCCAAAACCCAGGCAACAACAAACTCTGAAGCAACAGAAACTCTTATTGCTCATGGGAGTGCAAAATGGCACAGCAATTTTGGAAACAGTCTGATGATATCTTACAAAACCAAACATTCTCTTACCACAGATCCAGCCATCATACTTCTTGCAACTTATTGAAAATGTATCTCCACACCAAACCTGCACACAAATATACTGGTAACTATATTCAGAGTTGCCAAAACTTGTAAACAACCAAGTTGTCCTTCAGTAGGTGAACAGATACACTGTAGGACATCTAGACAATAAAATATTATTCGGTGTTAAAAAGAAATGAGCTATAGAAATACATACAGGAACCTTAAGTAGATATTACTAAGTGAAAGAAGTCAAAACCCTCTATGATTTATCTATCCATCTCCTCCTCCTGATGGCAACAAATGATCCCTTTACTTTCTCCATTTTTTTTTTTTTTTTTTTGGTACCGGGAATCGAACTTGGGACCTTGTGCTTGCAAGGCAGGCGCGATTCCACTGCGCTCTTTTCCAAATGTATAGTTGTAATCACACACGCTGCCGATTGGCTTCTGAATCATTTGCTTCATTCTTGGAAAGCAGAGATTTACATAGACCCGACACTTGGACTCAGGTCCCATGATGACAAATGGTTGGAAGATCCTTTGGAATAGGATTACTTACTTATAGTAGACTAAGTAATGAATATCAAGTCAACTTAGATGCTCTGGGTTTGTCTGGCTGGGGAATAGGGTTTAGGCTTATTTTAAATTGGCAGGACACTGGTTATTACCATTTTATTGTCAATTTTTAGTTAACTAAGTAAAGAATTAAACTTGCTGAAACTTCCCTTTTGGGAGAGGGAGTTGTTTCTGTAGATTAGAATGTGAAACATTTTCATTCTGCTAATAGAACAGCAGAAGGTATATTAGATAACGTTTTTGGAAACCAGTCTTACACTTAGTATACCTGGAGGTATGTGGTAGATACTGTTCATCAAATGTCTCATTTTTGTGTCTGCAGAGCTCCTCTCTATGGGGTTTTGGGTTGTTGGGGTTTTAGATGTCTCAAACCCTCCTCGGTGGGGGATTTTGGAAGGTGATTGGATTATGGGGGTTTATAGCTGACTTGCTATTAGGAGGTAAGGCCAGGTTGAAAAAGGGTGGTTACCTCCCTAGGGCAGATTATCTTCCTCCCTGCCTCTTCCCTTTGCTCTCTCAGCTTCCTGTCTGCCACCTATTATGTCCCTTTCTTGTTTTATCATTTCCCCTGTGTCTTCCATAATATTTAAAATGCTACGTATTTTAAATTACACAAATACAGAAGTGATGTACGTTTGCTTGGGCTGCTGCAATAAAATGCCACAGAATGAGGTAGCCAGAACAACAGAAATTTATTTCTCACAATTCTGGAGCCTGGGAAGCCCAAAATCAAAGTAGGTACCAGATTTGATTCCTGGTGGTCTTCCTTCCAGGCTTTTTAAAATTTATTTATTTAGTTAGTTATTGTTGTTTTGTTTTTTTTTTCAGTACCAGGAATCAAACTCACAACCTTGCGCTTGCCAGGCAGGCGCTGTGCCGCTGAGCTAAATCCCCAGCCCCATCTTCCAGGCTTTTAGAAGGCTCCTCTTGCGGTGTTCTCACATCGTGGGATGAGAGATACCGCTTTTATCTTTTTTAAAGGTAACAGTGGGTGATCCACTTTTAAGTCTTAATCTAAATTTAGTTACCTCCCAATAGATGCAAGTGGGTCAGTATATGAATGGCGAGGAAATGGGGCTTCCCCATATGGGTAGGAAGGGGTGAAAGGTATCAAATAAGAATTTGGAGCAGGGCATAATTAGCAGGTGGCAATGCCTAGACGAGAATGCTGAATTAAGGGGAGTTGTGAGATGCAACGTTCCAAAGACTGGTCCTTGAAGGACATGGAGTGCCAGATTTGGGGAGCCGCCGGACTTTTCGTCAAGGAACTGTCGTGGTGAGAGTATGTTCCAGGAGTAAAATTTCGAGGGGTTGTTCGTGGGACGGATTTTTTTCCCCGTAAGACATTACAGCTAGGTACACCAGTTAGAGAAGTACGGACCATGCCTGATGAACAGCCAGAGATCCGCGTTAGGCTTGCAGCCCTCTCACCCACTACCGCCAGGAAGCCTTTCCGGATGCTTGCGCGGAAGCGGCACGCCTTCTCTAAACCCACATTTTCCCCACGTCGCTCCCAGGAGCCTTGCACTTCGCCTTGGAGTGCCCTCGTTGCGGTACTTCTGTCACGGCTCCCGCTTGGCAGTTCCTCCAGCACTAACACAAGGCGACAGAACTTCGCAGGCGGCAGGGAGGCGGCCCTCCGGGCGGGATCTCAGCGCCCCGCAGCGGGTCCCCAGGTCCTGGCCGCCGAGACAGCGGACCTGCAGACGCGCCCTGCGCGCAGGACAGCGGGGGCCCGGCCGGCCGACCGCCCTCGGAGCTCCGCGGAGGGCGGGTGCGTGGCTCACTGCCGACGGACCGGCCCACCGACTGGAAACCGACACGCTCCCCACCCTTCCTCCGACGGGGCGCCCGCTTCCCTGAGCTTCCTCTGGGCTGCTCACGAAGGCCCCTCTAACCCATCAGCCCAAAGTACTGAACAAGATGGAAGAACTAGCAAACATAAAAAACAGTTGTTTTGAACCCCGAGCGCCTACTCCCTTAAGAGGATGGGTGAGGCTACTAGCGCACCGCGTCCCGAG